CGAGCAACCAATGAACAACAGCAAGGCAAGGCCAAGAGTAAGGCTGCTGCAGCGAAAGGCGCCGAGGACTGAAAGCCCTCGCACGTGTGCCGCGCTGCTCCCTGCCGGGCCTGCGTTCCCTACAGAGCCGAGCCGGGTTTTGCTCCTGATGCGCGCAGCACTGCCATGCCATCGGCTTTGCTCGCACACGGGAGACAGCAAACACGTTTAATTCAGTGCACGTCCACAGCGTCGTGTGTCTTGCACACGCGCATGCGCAGCTGTAGGTGAAGCAGCCGGGACATCAGGAGGCTGACGCCAAAACCGCGGCTTTGCTACTTTGTGCGCGCCTTTGCTTACATCGTCTATCTGTTGTGTCTACCTGTAGAAAGCAGCATAAAGCAACAGAACCTGCCGTCCTCCCAGAGAACACACGCCAAGCAAACTCCGGCTTTAGGTCTCCGCAGTGCTGGCTCAAGTACAGTGCCTCCTGTACAGTCCTCCGCTGTTTCTTGTCTGTCCTGCTGCCGTGGGCCAGGTCCAGCTCTGCAGTCCTGACAGAGGATGCCCTCGCTCTTCGCTCGTAGCAAGAAGTCAGAAGAGGCCGGTCGTGTCCGGCTTTACTACGGACACCCGCGCGACGGCACTTTTGTGGACAACATGAGCATAGGGCAAGCCTTTTCCCTACAAGCGAACGCAAGGCTTGCAGGCGACCTGCTTGGGGAGAACGAAGACAAGAACCACCGCAACGCACGGAGCCTCGCTGCGTCGGACGAGGCTACCACGGTCAAGTGGCTGGCACCGACTCCCGTGAAGCCTGGCGGGCAAGCCAGGGCTCACGAGGACTCTGCGGCCAGCCCTGGCCAAAACCCCGCAGGCCTGGCAGCGCAGTTGCAGGAGCAGAGCCCTGGCTCTAGCATCCCGCCCACACAGCCCCGCAGCCCTTGGGTGCAGAAGCTTCTCAAGAAGAAAAGGGAGCGGCAGGGGAAGCACGCCAAGGCCAAGGGAGAGAAACGCTGCAGCAAGGACTGAACAGCTCCTGCTCTGCAGAAGAGGCGCAGACTCTCGGTGTGCTTCACACGGCAGGGGATGTCGTGTGCAGCAACTCCTATAGGCGACTCGATTTTGGAGCGGCGCAATCTTAGGAAAACAGCGTGTTGCATCAGAACGTTTCCTGTTCAGGGCCAGAGCTTGTAGCAGAGCTTGCGATGTCGGAGCTGGCTCCAGTCCTAAAAGCCTCAAGTCCGCAGCAAGCAAAGCCTGGAAGCTGAAGCCTGCGAGTCTCCCCAAGTCTCGGGTTTCCAAACATGTAGCAGCCACAGCTCTGTAGCACCCAAACAGTCTCTCGTTCTCTAGACTTCGCCCGTAGCCTCTCGAGCCAAAGTGCTCCACCTGCTTCTCTGCCTCCACATGGAGGAGACCTGACGAGTCGGCTCTGGTGCAGAGGACCACGTGAATGAACTTACTCCTTGCAGGGGCGGCTGCGTCGACTGTACAAATGATATGGGAAAGCGAGCTGTAGTCTCGGCGGCAGATGCTGCCAAGGCACTTCGCAATCCAGGCACTTCCGTGCGGCAGGCCGCCGAAGATGCAGGGACTTCCCGTGCAGCTATGAGACGTGCAGCTGCACGTCTTACACTGCCGGAAGAAGCATACAGAACGGTGACCTTTGGTGAATATTGCATCGCAATCGCCTCTGTCCCAGTTCTACTCCAGCAGATGTGCCTGCAAGTGCGAGATCTAGGCGATGCTTTGAGTAGCCTGCAAACCCAGGCCGCCGAGCAGCCGCTCAATCTGGCACTTTCGTTTGATGAAACGACTGCAGGCAACGTCCTTGCCCCAGATCCGCAAAAGAAAAGCTGCCTGGTGTACGCTTGCATCAAGGAGCTCGGCACCCAATCAACGGCGCTCTGTCTCCCCCTCTGCGTGATCGGGTCAGAGACCATGAAGAGAGGCTTGCAGAATAGCTTGGGCCCGGTGGTACGTCATATCCTGCGTTTCGCTGTGGAAGACAAGCTCGCGGAGGGCTTCCTCATCCAGCTCCTAGACAGACCTGAGCATGGGTAGGTTTTGTTCTATGATATAAATCGGAAGATTTCTGTCCTGGGGCTTTTCCTCTGCAGCATGCGCAGGTGCTCGCGATCCTTCTTTCTCCGACTGCAGATCAGCGCCATCATCGCTGACGGGGAAGCCCTCCGTCAGGCTTTGAACTGCAAGGGGGCTTCTGGCCTGAAGCCGTGTCATCTCTGTAAAAATGTCGTCATGAAAGGACACGCATTGGCATCGGCACCGACTCTGCGTGATTACGCCTGCGACATCTGCTCTTCAGACATAGAACAGTGGGATCTATTGAGGGACGAAGAGCTGTTCGAATTTTGCGACATGCAGCGGCAGAGGCAACCCCGTATTCCTGCGACCCTCTTCGCCGAAGAAGAGACCCTCAGCGGATACTGCTACAACCCTGAGGGCATACTGCAAGATGACTTCGCCAGGACACTCTGTTGTTAAGTTCTCTCTTAGAGAATACATTGTATTCCCTTCCCCTTAGAGATCCAAGTACCCTCCTAGAAACTCTTCCTGCAGGAGACTACTACCACCCAGCCAATGGCTCTTCGACTTCCTGCACCTCTATTTTACTGCCGGAGGCTGCGCGGCTGTTGAGATGGCACATCTCATGCAGGAGTGCCAGAGCAGGCTGAAGCATGCACCGGAGGACTTCGCCTCCTTGCTGCGGCAGCTGCCGTGGCAGACGCCCAGCCATGTGGTCGGACTGCAAGGTCCGGCGTCTCGCGCGCGCTTGCTCCAGTCCGCTAGGTTTCCTGAGAAGTCCTACAAAGGCAAAGCTGCAGACCTCATGCAGCTGCTTCCCATGATCGCCTGCCTTGTGGAGCTCCTTGACGTGGACGATCGGATGGCAGGACCTTTAGCCAGCTATGCAATTTGCTTGAAATACACCGCGAGCTTAGCCGGCTGAAGCGACTGGGTCAGATATCCGACACTTCCAGGCTGCAGAGGCTGCAACGAGAGCACCATGACCTGTGCCTCGCTGCTTATGGCGAAGGGATTCTGAAACCCAAACACCACTGGCGACATCACGCAGCAAAGCAGATCCAGGATTGGGGCGCGTACATGGACACCAGCGCTTTCGAAGCCAAGCATCAGATGTACAAAGGAGTTGCAAATAAAAACTTCGACGTTTTGGTGTCCTCTCCGGCCTGGTCCCAAGCAATCCTGGACCGCATGCTTTGCTCGTGCATCAACCAGATGAAAGTCCACTTCGAACGCCGTGCCCTGCTGGGCCGTGGCAAGGAGACGACAATCCTCTGGGGCCAGCAGAAACTCAGGGCATTCAAGCAAGTGCAGTGGGAGGGGTTCACCTGGAAGCCAGGCGACTTCCAGTTGGAACCTTTCCCAGGCAAAGTCTTGCACTGCTGTCTCAGCTCCACTGAAAGACCTTTCCTTTTGCTGCAGGAATATACCATAGCCAGCAAAAGTCGGTTCAGCATGGTCTTTCGCGCTGCTCAGAGGGTGCGCAGCCTGCAAGACGTGCTGCGCTCTAAGCTGGCCTCCTGGTGGCTGATCGAAGAGACAGGACTTGTGCGAGCTCTGCGTTGAAAAAGAAGATCGCTGCAACTCTGCTTTCTCCCTAAAACCAGGCATAGCGGCCTATAAACCTAACTGAAAAACCAACAAAAACCAGGATGGAGACATATCCTCGGCGCAACCGAAAAAAAGATAAAAAAAGATAAAAAAATAATTTTAAAAATAAATAAAAAAAGATAAAAGTTTTTAAAAAAAGATATTGAATACTAAAACCGACTTAACTTATCTCCGTTTTAACTCATTCGTATCTCTCCTATCTCTTTCTTTCTCACGCAAGTCAACCGGCCCACTGTGTAGCTCCGCTGCAGCCGTCTTGGCCTTCTTGCGCCTTGCTGAAGGGCCTTCCTGCTGGCCCTTTAGCAATGTAAATGCAGGCCCAACCCACTCAGTGCGATACGCTTCGAACTGCAGAGGGTCAACAACGAAGAAGATGTGAAACATCTCCAGCGCGTCAGCCTTCGCCTTGGTCACCGGCAAGAAAAAGTCATCACCTCCCACTGTTGTCCGCGACACCGGCCAGGCCAACGCTGCTCTGTGGTCAACGTGCTGGACGATGACTCCGGTGGCACCCGAACGTTTGCATCGCACCACGGTTCCGAGGGGCAGAAGCGTGCTGAGCCACAGGCGCTGCGTCAGATCCCAGTTGCTCTGAGTCTTGCAGCAATGGGCCCACCAGAACACATGCACGTACATCTTGTTCAATGACGCTGGTGTTCCAGTCTCGTAGGGCGCTTCTTGCTTGGAGCCTTGCACCTCCTTCAGGGGCAGCACAACGTCCCCTGCCTTCGGCTTGTACAGATCACTCGCAAGCTTTTGAGTGCGCGCCTCTTTCTCGTGCTGCGCAGTCCACTGCTGGTGCGTGAGCTCCTTGAACTTGTTCGGCGATTGCAGAACCTCAGCTTTCATTGGTGCCAACAGCAACCTATCATTCGAAACCTTCTTGTTGTCTTGTTGAAGCTCTTCTGCATCTCGTGCTGCTCGGTTGGCTTGCTCGTTCACAACGGTGTTTCCCACGGAGAACAGGCACTCGACAGCACGCTGCAGCTGCACAGGCGTCTCCTTGAACTTCGCCGCAGCCAGCAACTCAAGCGTTTGCTTGGGTATGGGGTCCCTGACAAAGCTTGCCGACACCTGCTTCTGCACGTCCGGGTTGCGGTCAGCTTTAGCCAGAGCAGCTTCGTACCAAGACTTCAAACTCCGAAAGTAAGTCAGAGCAGTGGCCTGCTGTGACTCCCCTGTCTGAAGAAGGGAAACCAGCCTGCCCGGGCCCACCAAACTCCACAAGCTGCTTGCAAGCTGCTTTCCAACCAGGCAGCATGCCGTGAAGGCAAGGTTGTTCACGATTTCCTTCTCCTCGTGAAGCGCGGCCGCGCGCCCATCCTCTGTCAAGCCGGCCAAAGGGAGGTCCGCTACTCCCGTTGTGAGTTGGAGCTTCCTCAGCACATTGATGTCGCTGAGCACTTCCCATACTTCGATGACAGGCTTCAGTGCCTCGGGACCGGACATGTCTTTGTAGTACTGCAGCATGCTTTGCTGGGACTTCGCACTCTGACGCATGTCCTGGTACTTCCGATGCAACGGCAACGTGACGTAGTACATGCATCGGATGGACCTCTGCAGAGGCCAACCTTCCACATAAAGGCGAATGGCACAGTGCAAGGTGTTCTGGCCTGCGCTTCGCAACTGTTGCTCAGTCTTCTCCTTCACTTTTTTGCCGCTGCCAGCACCACTATCCTGAAGCTTGGCCGTGAAGTCCTTCACTTGCGATGCTCTTGCCAAAGTCTTGGCCTTAAACAGACCCTTCTCCAACCCCAGCAGTGTGAACAAAAACGCTCGCCTGTGAAACCTGGGATCCCAGTACCTCGTGGCTGTCAGCCAGGAGCCCCATTCAGAGATGGCCAATTTCGGGCCCTTCCTGTCAAACACGTCATCGGCGCTCTGACCATTCCTCTGAAGCTGTGACGCCCTCCACACCCATGTCGTGGCAGATGGCGGGTAAGTAGTAATTCCAAAGTTCTCGCACTGCCGGCTCGTGCTGACGGAGAAGATCTTGAAGAAAATCGCGTGCCTCGGAGAACCACTTGCCTGTTCCGAAACAGGCGTAGTTCACCCCATACATGACTTTCATCACAAGTATCAAATGGAATTGCCCTGCTTGTTTCAGCGCTCCCAGGATCGTGTTGCACCGCAAGTGTGCTGGGTCGTACACGGCCTCGACATTCAACTTGAAAAGCCTCTTGGCAGCGAGCTGGCCTGACATGCCGATGGAGCACTGGTCCACAGGCAAAGCCAACCACTGGAAGTCGAAACGGTTGCTGCGCAGCTGCGGGAGTAGTTTGGCAATCGCTTCCGGCTTTTCTTTCGACTGCAACAGCGCTTCCACGGATGCGGCTGTGTCCTTGCTTGAAAACGCCTCCAAACCTTGGGTCGTGTACTGCTTCAAAACCGTGTCCAATGTCACCAGCCACCAGTACGTTGCAAGCCGAAACTTCGCCGGCTTCGGCTCCTCCTTCGCTGTGATCTCGGAGTCCACGAAGAGACGGATGCAAGAGTTCAACCACGCACGCTCCAGCAGCAAATCTGGATCCGTTTCCGGCGCAGACCGGTCTGAGCCACCATGACTGCTTTCGGCGCGTGCAAGATGGTCTGGCATCACCTGGACGGTGTAGGAGAAACGAAGGCAGGATGCTACACATTCGGCGAAATCTGGTAAGAGTTCCCCGCCACCCGGCCCGCACAACCCTTGACGTTTACACGGTCCTCTTCTTTCCCTACACGCACGCCTTCTTTTGCACTCTCAACCTCAGAGAAAAAACGCGTCGCTCGCAATCGCTTCACGTGCTATGCGCAAAACACTGCTAAAACGACTCGTGTTAAATTGCAGTTCGTCTGCGACCTGCTGCGGAATGTCACATGCCAGCGCTAAGGCTGACATTCGGCCAGAGACCCGAGCGTCGTTATTCCTCACGTAAAAAAGTTATGTTCTTGAAAAACCAACGCCCACAGTATGTAACACCTGTATATATTCTTCAATGCCCTACGAAAAATATCTTGACCAATAACCCCATAACGCCCAAGATCGTGTAAAGTAAAAACTGCTTTGATTTCGCAAGCCGAGAACCTGCAGCTTTAACTCCTCTAACACATTCCCTAAAACGGGAACACTTTCCCCTCTTCCTATCACCCCGAGCCGAAACTCTTGTTTTTTGAGCCGGGAGACTACATGCCTGAAGCCTACACCCTAAAATCCAAACCGGAGCCACCCTCAAATTTGCTTTTTGCCGCCCAACCCAAAAACGATTTTCAAAAAAGCTCCCCGATTTTAAATGCTTGAGAGCCTCAACAGAGGGGCAGCCTTGAGGATGTTCAATTAAAAGTAGTACGGTGCTTTCGCCTGGCGGCTCCTGAGCTCTGAGAGAAGCATCGGCGCGGCATTTAACTACGCCCCCGTGATATTCAAAAACAAAAATTCGCTGCGCCCAAATTTCCAAATTTGCTCCATCCCGGCAAAACCTTTTTTCAAAAACGGCTACCCGTATTTAAATGCTTGCCAACCATCCAACCTCAAACAAAACTGCTGCTGTCCCAGCTCGCGCAGGATTCTGCGAGAAGCAGCGACCAGAAATCGCTTACGCTTTGCACTCGCAGACCTTTTTTCGACGAGACCTTTCTTTGCTGTGAAGACTAAAGCTACGACAACAGACAACTGCGACCCCGCCACTGTGCTGACTGGCATAGAGAGATTTTTTTGGATTCCTTCAACACGACGCCCAAGTTTTCCGAACGGAGACCTGCCACAATGAGCCCCGTTTCCGCATACCGCTTCCTCTGCCCTTTCCTCTAGTCCTTCACGCGCCAGACGGATGCATACGAACACACATCTTAGAAAAAAATTTTCTTAAAAGAAATACTTGTATGCCCCAGGGACTCTCATAGCCCAACCAGCAGAATGCGTCTCACCGGCCTTGCTGCCCGCCAAGAGGAAATACACGACGTCTTTCGTGCTGACGCGTACACCGTCCGAGCCGCACGATAAGTGTTGCACCAGAGGCCAATGGCATTCGTGGACCTGAATGGTTTTCAAGAGCATGTCGTTGTCTATCTGCTGTGGATTCATGTTGCGCGGCTTCTTCGCAGCAGGCTGAAAACTGACGAAACTGCGAATGTGTTGGTGCGTGTTATGGGCACGGTCTGTCGAAGCAGAGCTTCCATGGCCCATGGCTAACATCTCACCCAATGCCACATCTCGCCGACTGCTGCCAGGAATCGAGCTCTTGCTCTCGGATATGTCCAACGGATTCGTCACTGTTTTATCCGCCAGTATGCAGTCTATGTGAAGTGCAAGCTGGCCGAAGATCTGTCTTGAGACCT